CCCTTACTTTCTTTTCCACGGGGGTAAGGGAATAAAAAAATTTAAACAAAAAAATTTTGTTCATTGTGTAAAAGATGTAAAAAAAAAATGTATCTATCGCTGCGTGACGTTTTTTTACCTCTTCCTCCATCATGATAAATTAAATTCGATACAAATAAGGTATCCTGATCCGGAAACTGTATCAGTGGCGGATCAATGATAATTGTAAATGCAAGATTTTTTTAAATAAACCTTTTCTTAAAGATTTAACAAGACAATAAAAAACAAACTTACTTTGACAATATCGGACCCTCTTTCCTGATGTTCGAAAGTGTATATGCCCCTTGGGTACCACCACTGTGTGGGTGGTGCGTCCTATCTCCACAAATATGTTGAAGCGGGTCACCTCACAAAAGGACACGCAGAAACACTGGTCACCCCGCAGATTTTCCCGACAATCGTACCCCCGGAGTGATTCCTTGCAACATCGATTTTGTGTTGGACACAGTTGGACTGATAGCCCAATCAGTGAAAAAAGCAGAATAGTAAACATCGTCTTTTAAGGAGCAAGGTTTTTATAATGTGTCATAAAATGCAGTACTGATATTTTTTTTCACTTATACTTATATACCCCTTATTGCGACCTGTAATTTACTAATGTCAACCGGTTTGGTCAATCGGCATCAAAGGTAACGGATGTATCTGCCGGTCTTATAATTGAAAACACCGCTTTGTCTTTTGAAGATTTTAATTGCGTTGACCCTGGGTCAACATGATTCTTTTTAACAAAATTGAATCCTCTGAGAATCGGAGGTATGATGAATGGGAGAATGAGAGAAAAAATTGATTGCATCGTAGAAAAATGCAATGTATCCTCTTAATTTTTGTATAGGTTGTAGCCTTTTTCTTCAACCGAGTCAACAAAATGTGTTAATTCAGCACTGTCCGTGCTACATAAAACGATCGTAATAATGAGGTCATTCAGGTTAAAAGGTAATTTCTGATAAGATCGGTTTTTAAAAACCTTTTATATAGATAACACCTGTGCACATCACTTGTGCAGTCAGAACCAGTGTAAAATATTTGCATTGTATATAACATTAAAATTACACCATAAAAGACCGGTATTGTTGGCGCTCTTTTTTTTTAGGTCAACACGGAACAGTTCTCGGTGTCATCAATCACATCTGTACTTTAAAATTTCATAACTATAGGAATGTATGCTATGTCATTATATATATAAAGATCAATCAAAAAAATGACATCGCAATATTTTGTACAATATAAAAAAAAACGATCAATCAACAAACTGATGTAATAAATCTTTTAAAAATAAAAGTATGTTTCATAACTAATAGAGTAAAACGGCTTCTAATTCGATAGTTTTTTACTCCAATAAAAACGAAATTTATGATTTTGGAGGGAAATTTAACAATGTTTAAGCAAAGCTACACATGTCTATCTCTGTCAACTTTATATCCCCCCCAATCATAATTTAAAGAAAAAAAATGGGGAGGGGGGTGGGATGATTTTTATGGCATAAAATATAAATAAGCAAAATTATATCCAAAGTTCCTTCCCTACCGTTTTTATTACCTTCCCTTACCGCTTTTTTTATCGGCTATTAAAACTCAAAAGAAAGGATGGAATTCACGTTAAGGTAAATTGAAAAAAATAATAAAATCACAATTTTTTTTCAATTCAAACTGTTTAAAAGTTTAATATTATAATTTGTTTATTCTCTTTTTTTTCTCAGGACCGTAAATGACCTACAGAATGATGATGAAATTAAAGTTGCGTTAATTATAAGGTATGTAATAAACTGAAGGGTATTTATTTTGATAACTTATTTTTCTTGTGATACAAATGTAAAAATTATAAAAAAAAAAGTTGTAAGCAGACTTTAACAACTCAATTCATTTACAAAATCTTATTATCTGTAATTTCCTATAATTGTAGTAAACAAAAAAGGATTCCAACAGAAGACAGAAAAGAGGAAAAAGAAGAAGAAGAACAAGTTGAAGACAACAGAGAGGAGAGAGAATATGGAGAGAAAAAAGACGTCAGAGAGGAAGAAGACAGAGAAGAAGAAGACAGAGAGGGAGAAATAAACAGAGAGGAGGAAGAAGACAGCGAGGGTGATTTAAATAGAGAGGGGGAAGAAGTCAGCGAGGGTGAAATAAATAGAGAGGGGGAAGAAGACAAAGAGGAGGAGGGAGTCAGAGAGGAGGAGGAAATCAGAAGAGAAGAACTAATGGAAATTGATGAAGATGAAGACAAAAAAATAATTCAAACATTGTTATCGAGAAAGAGTGATTTAGAACATCAGAGACAGGAGGTAGAGAACAGACTTTGTGAAATAAGTGAAGAATTAGAGGAGTTATCCTACCTCATATAAAATGTAAAGTATGTAGAGTTATCTATCCTTCTTAATATAGAATTTTCACAAAAAAACGTACCTTTTTTCTTCTTGACGGTCAATTGATTTGATAAAAAAATTTCACTAGATTTTATATGAAACCCTTGTGTACATCATTTCTAAAAATATTCATGTATTTTTACCGATTGTTAATATTTCAAAAGAGTTGTGAAATAATACGTTACATTCATTTGATATGATTGTCTTTTGTTTCTTATATACACAAAGTTTATATATAGAAAGTAATAAATAATGTATACATTCATTTTTTTAATCTTGTTAATTCTTTTCAAGGTAAATCATTTTAGCAAATATTTTGTTTCATCTTAACAAGATCTTTTTTCTATACCATTTTACCGTATTTTTTTTTCATGAAAATTTAAAAAAATAAAAAGATTTTTGAAATAAAATAAAGTCAATTTTCAAAGTTCAAATTAACGAAAAGCGATAAATGGAAATTTAATAGTTTGAGTTTTTTAGTCTACCGTTTGTTCAGAAAGTTTACACTTAAAAGATATAATTTTTTTTATTTAGAAAATGATATCATTAGAAAATCACAGGTTAATGTTTTTTAACTCTACAAACCATTATGGCCCTTGTAACACTTAACAATTCAATTTTTCTAAACTTATTTAGAGTTTTAGAGTGTTAATATAATAGTTCAAAATATCTAACTTTAAAAAACTCAAACTGATTTGGTATATTGAAATTTTCATATTTTTATTTCAAAAATCTAAAATTTCAAATTTCCAAAAAAAAAGGTTTAACATTTTGAATTATTTAGATTTTTTTTACCTTAAATATTTTAAAATTCAAATTACCAAAAAAAGATGCTATCTACCGTTAGTTGATAAAGTTAACGCTTAACAATCTAAAATTCCATAACATTTTCGTTATTATTTAAAATTTAATTCAAACTTCCAACTTTCAAACGCTTCCGATTTTTTTTTAGAAATTTAGAATTTTTTATTTAAAAAACTCAACTTTTTAAATAAACAAAACACGTTGGTACATTTTTGAGTTTTTTTTTAGAAATTTAATTCAAAATATCCAAAATATGAAATGCTATACTCAGTTTTCAAATTTTGGATATTTTAAATTAAAATTCTAAAAATCTTTAAGTATCAAGTTATTAGAAAAAATTTTAACATTTAAATCAAACTTCCAACTTATTAAAAAAATCTTAAACGTTTCAAAGTAGGAAGTTTTTGGAGTAAATTTTAAATAATCGAACGACGAAAAAAATATAACAAACACTGAAATTCGTTTCTCTGACCATTTTTAGGTATCTTTTCGTAAAATGTGGGTGGCCGTGAAAACGGCCGTTGGTTTTTTTTGTAATGGCACTGAGTGCCATTACGTTTCTTTTTCTTCTTCTTCTTCACAAAACGTAAAAACGTTTTCCCCGTTCTTCCAAACCATTCTTCCGGGGGGCCGCTGTACAGTTTTCAGCTCCTCATCCCAGTCTTCTGTCTGAGGAGGGATTTCTTCTTCTTGTCTTCTCAATGACAATTTAAAGGCCATCTTTTTTTTAACACATTGATAATTCAATTTGTAGAAACTTTTATATATTCTTGTTAATTTATGCTAAAGTAATGCCCACTTTACTCCGATAGATAGCGCATGCTCAGGTGTCATTTTTGATAAATCACATAATCTGGCTAAAAACGCCTACTTTATTTTGATAGATGGCGCATGTACTCAGATGTCATTTTTTTAATGAATTGCTAATTATAGATTCCGTAGATGGCGCATGCTCAGATGTCATTTTAGGAATTGCACAACCTTGCGTCATAAATCTATAATTGGCTCTCCGCCATTTTTAAATACATCCAAAAATAAAAACATCCATATCTATAAAGGTATATATCTGGAGATCTACATCTTCTTGTGATATGACAGAGAAACAAAAAAGAAAAACAAAACACGTGCACACACACACTCTCAAATAGCTGCTCTTAAAACCGATCATGTAAACATTATTTCCCGCCGAAATGTGCATGGTCAAAAAATTGCAGACTCGGAGTTACAAACCAATTTATCAATCAATCTTGTGATATTAATTCCATGTAATTATGCAATGATTCTGGCACTTAAATTATGATATCGTCCACTTTCTAGGTCAGGGTTTATTATATCTTAAAAACTATTATACCGCTACACACTTTTTTTGAAATTGAAAATATAAATATTTTATGCAGATTCAAATATATAATATAGATGAAATATAATATTATAAATGATGAATAAAATATCAATGTATCTGGTTTGGGAATCCCCCACACACTTTCGTTGAGAACTCGGTGCTTCCTTATACCTGGAATTCTTCGTGTATCGTGCATATCATTTACAGCTTGAACCCCCTCCCCTTAAAACACACAGACACCCTAACGCCCTTAATTATCCTCATTTGCTTTATTTTGGTGTCTTTGTGAGTTATGTCCATGTTTACTAGTATTGTTACTATAAATAATAAATTATATTCTATTCTATCACATATCACATATTTTCTGTTTTAATTTGTTAAGCCATGTGTAAAATTTGAACTAATTATATTTAAAAACAGAGATTAATTTTCATAATTTCAGAATGAATAGGAACAATGTCGGGTAAATTGAGACCCTACTCATGTGTAACTTGTCACAAGCGGATTAAGAAAAGTGAGAGGCGGCCTGTCACGGGCAGTCAGAACAAAGCTCTGCGACAGTTTTTGTCTAAAACATTTGTGACTGATTTGTGTGATGCAGATGTGGTGTGTAACAAATGTAGACAGCTATACTATTCGTCAAAGCAATCAGAAGCTATTGTCAGTAATGAAATAGGAAAAGAGAATGCTAATCCTAAAGGTCCACAAGAATCTAGTGAGTCGTGTATTTCGTTGCCAATACCATCCACGGGATACAGACATGATGCCTGTGCTATCTGCAGTAAGAAACCTCGGAAACTTGTTGTCGTATCTGAACAATCACGCCATGAGCTGTTCATGCATACCGGTGTACTTCTTACGGAAGGATCAAGATGCTGCTCAAGACACGTTTCAGACAGGCATTTAACGGCAGAGACGGTGAACAGCGGCGTTTCCTCCAAGACGAGGAATCACACAACCTTCAATAATGAAGAAGTTTGTCACCTTCTAGAGAGCGTGCGACAGCTTGCCAAAAGAAAAGATTCCACACGCATTGATTTTGACAACGACTCATCACTGACAGACGAGGACTATAGAAATCTTACAGGTCTTACTCGGTCCGAGTTTGACGATTTGATGAGCAACATTAAAGAAATCAGGCAGTCAAAATCCAGAAGCACCAGGACATGCGTTGCCATATTACTTGTAAAGTTAAAGTGTGCTCTTGACAACAAGATGTTGGCAACGATGTTTAACATGAAAAAGTGGCAGGTATACTAGCATAAAAAAAACCTTTCATAAGTAAAGTTGAATTTATTAATAGTGTAACATTAGTACATCCTTGATTTGCATGACATATATATATATATTTTGTAAGATTAAAATATAAAAATCAAGTTAAATATTTGACAAACGAATTATTTTAGAGGTCAATCTAAAGATTTTTTTAATTTACATTTTAGGTACGTAGAGCTGTTTCATCTGCAAGGAAAGCTTTAATGTCCGACTTTGTACCGCATAATTTAGGATTTGGGCACATTTCCCGAGAGGAAGTTATAGGGCAGCACACACGTCCACTGGCACAGGAATTATTTTCCAACGGACTGACTGAGACTCCCCAAGCATTGCTTGTTTTAGACGGGACTTATATTTATATTCAAAAATCCAACAACTTCAGCTTTTCTCGACGTTCTTACAGTCTTCACAAGCACAGACCGCTCATCAAACCAATGATGATAGTCACTACTTCCGGGTATATTGTATCAGTCCTCGGTCCCTACTTGGCGGACACTAAGAACAATGACGCTGGAATCCTGAATAATATGATTCAAAGAAACGTCGAAGAGATGACAGACTGGGTCAAAGAAGGGGACACTTTTATTGTTGATCGGGGATTTAGAGACAGTTCCAGTGTTCTCGCTGATCTTGGTATAAGGATGGAAATGCCATGTTTTTTAGCGAAGGGTTCAAAACAGCACAGCACAGAGGAATCAAACTGCTCTAGACTGATTACTAAGGTATACATATCAACGTTGTATTTCAAAGTAATTAACATGAAAAATTGAATGGCATCTTTTACCAAAATTGTTCTCTTGTAGGTGCGATGGGTCGTGGAATCCGCCAATGGTAGACTCAAAAGATGGCGCTACCTGGACAGAACTGTTCCGAACACGCAGATTCCCTACGTAGGAGATTATGTACGGATTATTTCTGCAATCTGTAATAAATACAAACCACCACTCAGTTCTGGAGAAGCAGATGAAGATCTTGCCACCGCGTATAAGATGCTTCACCTTTCTCGCCAGCCAAATGCTCTTCGTTTACTGGTGGAATCCGAGGGAATGGACCAAAGGTCATATCCGTGGACGAAGATTGATGCCACCGATGTTGCCCCAGACTTTCCCCGGCTGTCTGAGGAGGAAATCCGCGAGCTCACTCTCGGGACATACCAGGTTAAACTGGCCAGATCTTATGCGAATGAACACCTGAACGAGGACGGGAGCTATGAGATACATATCAATGAGGACATCGAGAACATAGTTAGTGCGAAAATTCAAAGTCGTCATGTGTCAGCAAAAAGGTACCTCTGCTGGATTCAGCACAGTAACGGGGTGATACAGACATGGTACTGTAAATGCAAAGCTGGATCTCGCGTGGTGGGATGCTGCGCTCATATCACCAGCGTCGTATGGTATTTATCGTATGCAAGATATCAAGAAAAACCTGTTATGGGCGTGCGGGACTGGGCAGAGTACTTGGAGGACGCTGCTCGTGTCATTGATGCGACAGACAGTGAAGACAGTGAAACTGAAGAGTAAAACTTTCAAGTAGAGTCATTGTTATTGATTCCGATGAACATCGATTATACTAGTCACTGTTTTTTATAAATATGGAAGTATAGTCGTGTTATAGTTGATCAACCTAAGGGTATATTTATTTCCGGAGTATATGTAAAGCGATGATTCTTAACTTGTGTGGACAAACGTTACATCTGTTTATTATTTGATATTTCTTATTTCAAGGGGACGAACAATTAGACTGTCGGGGGTAGATTGCCATTTTTTAATATAAAAATACGTATATATTATATATAATTCTTGAAAATCCTGCCCTTGATTGAAAAAAAAAATGTATTATATTATTCTCTTCTAGCTCAGAGCTAATTCACCTACCCAACCCTAAGCAGTGGAGTTAAACGGGATTTTTAAAATTCGTTTTTTTTTTTTGATTTGATTTTTAATTTTTATGCTATATATATGGTTTGTTTTCTCTTTGCTCGTCAGATTTAATAAGCAAATGTGAAAGCATTGAAGTATACAATCAAATAATCTGTCCTCTTTCCGATGACATGAAAAATAAATTCTTTCTGACTCGGAAGACTGTACCCCCCCCCCCCCCCCCCCCCCCGCCTTTTAGCATTAAGTGTCCGTCCCTTAGACTTAAGAGTTGTTTCTACCTGATAAGATAATATTTAATCGAAATTTATTTATTGCATGTTATAAAAGATTGATTGGTGCGTTCTTAGTCATAACTGAAATTGATATTATTATTGTTGTTGATTGCATTTCACATTGTCTATGCAATAAAATCTTAATCTAGATCACTGTCACGTTTGGAATATTAACAAATCCCCAGCCTCATATTCAATCTCAGAACATTTTGGAATCTTCACACGCTTTATCTACATAGTTCTTATGTTTAAACACAAAACGCTTCAAAGCTTTTGGTTGAATATGTGGGAGACGGTGTTTGTGTGTGTGTGTGTGGGGGGGGGGGGGGGGGGGGGTCCACAAGTATCTGTGGTCTAGCTGTTAAGAATGACGACCACTGTATCATGGATTCTGTTTTCTTCAGACCTCTTACATAATTCTTTTTCATGTTATGTCTTCAATCAGAAGTTGATTTGTAAAACCGAAACGATGCCTGGCGGATAAAATACAGTAATCGTCTCAGTTAAATATAAACTACTCGCGAACTTGAAAACATAAAGTCAGTCAATTGAATTTCCTTAAATTACTATTGTATGTATTTGGCAATCGTACAAACGTGTGAAAATGTTTGAAAGGAAATATTTAATTTGTGTCGGGGTTGTTCTAAAAGAAATCTTAAATAAGGAACATCGAAAAAGAAAGACTAATCTGAAATCTAGTAATAGTATATAGCTTTCACTAGTTATTAGGGCTTTCCACCTTTCTGTGGAAAGACCTATTGATTTTCTTCTGTTTATTATTATTATTATTATTATTATTCTTCTTCTTCCGCTGATTTTTTGTTTCGACATTTATCGAAAAGACTTTTTGTTCATCGTAAAGGTCATTAAAAGTTAGGAACAAATTTGACCCAACGCGTATGAACTATGACGGCTTTCGAAGTTATTGCCCTTTTCGCAAGAAATGCTTGTTATCGCTACTCCTTTGAAACCGTAAACCATAGAGGTATGAAACCTTCACTAAAGTCTTTGACTAATTGAGAGGACTCTGGAATCTATTCATTGCGAAAGTATTCGGTGACCCCTTCAATGAGTTATTCCCCCTGAAAGTCTTAAAGCTGACAAGAAAACTTAAAAACTTTTAAAGGACAAGTGGTAAAGATATGGGACCAAGTGCATGAGATCTTATGACCTTTGACCTTGAAAAGTAGGTCAAGGTCAAAGGTCAAGGTCATTGGAAAACTAGAGAAATGGTCAATTTAAGCTTAAAATCCAGATGACCTTGACCAATGACCTTGAAATTTGACATTGACCTTGACCTCTGACCTTGGCCCTTACTCA